CTGGCCCCCAGCCGCGGGCGCGGGGCGTACGGTGCTGTTGATGTAGAAGGCGCTCTCGGCGTTGCCGGCGGTGATATCGAAGGTGAGGAGGGCGTTCGGCCCCTTGTCCGCGTCCCGGGCAAGGACGCGGGTGACGAAGCTGGAGACGGGGGCGTGCTCGCTGAGGGTGAGGTTCATCGGCAGGTTGAGGAGCACGGGGTCGTTGTCGTTGATGTCCAGCACACGCACGCCCACCACCATCTGCAGGGGCGGAGAAGAGCTATGGGCTCGGGGCACCGGTTCCCACCCCTGTTTTCTATTCCTGGCTGTAGGACTCACCGTGGAGCTGAGTGGGGGCACGCCCCGGTCCCGGGCAGCGATGGTGAGGTTGTAGAAGGGGATGTTCTCCCGGTCCAGCTCGGCATCCTTCCGCACCCGCAGCTCCCCTTCCACCGGGGAGATCACAAACTCCCCTGCCGGAGACAGTGGGGCCGTGGCTCGCACTGGGCCACTGCTGGCGTTCCCAAAGGGACAGGGGGACAGGCACCATGGGCTCTGGCCACAGGGACAGGTGAGCTTTGTGGGTTTTGGGGCTGCCCACCCCGTTATTATTGGGATGGGGCAGCTGGGGTCTATGCAGGCACCATCAGGAGCAGCTGGGTGGGCTGAGTGGCCAAAAGCAAGGTGCTCGTGGCCCTTTCTGCAGATGCCAAGAGCCCTCCAAGCACCTGCTGTGCCCGGGCAGGGGGGCTGCATGGCATGGACCCCCCTCCCCAGAGCCAAGGGGCCGCATCCTGCTTGTTCTGGAGATGTTTTGCAGCCAGGGCCAGCTGGTAGACGGGATGGGGCTTTGTCTTCCAGAAACCTTGGCTGAAGTCACCACGGGCGTAGCTGTGTCCCCACAGCTGCCACGCGGCCGGGGACACCCGCAGCTGCTCTGCCATCTGCTCCGGGGCTGCCTGGCTCCAGCTGCAGCTTTGCGAGGGTTGCGGAGACCCCAAAACGCCCTGCAGCCCCTGCAATGGGGCCGTGCCTCTCTCGTTTTCTCTTTCTGCACTATTTATTTTTGCTTGGCGTTTATTGTTCAGCAGATTCCTCCCCCCCCTCTCCCCTCTCCCCTTGCACAAGCCCGGGCCCCCCTCCTCGGACACTAACAGGTTAAGTTTCCTGTTGCTCAAACAGGATTTCCTGGTGTCGAAAGGCTGAATTTGCAGAAGCAGCCTGCTGGGAGGATGGCTTTTCTGAAACGCTTCCGCCCCGCTCTCCTCCACCCACCCCCTCCCTGCCCGGTGGCAAGGCTCTGCTTGGGAAAAAAAAAAAAAAAAACAACAACAAAAAAACACAAAATAAAGCAAAAATGGACGGCGAGCTCCTGTGCCAAAAACGTGGGGTTCCGTCCCGTGCTCCTCTGCCGGGGCAGAGGGATGGGGACGTGCCACCAGCTGCGGTGTGAAGCTGGGGAGATGCCACCCTGCTCACCAAGAGGGTCCCCAGCGACGATGCTGTACTCCACCTGCCCGCTGGGCCCCGAGTCCCCATCGTGGGCCAGGAAGGTCCACACGCGTGGGCCAGGTTGCCCTTCGGTGACGTCGAAGGGACCTTCGTAGGGCCGCGGGAAGGTGGGACAGTTGTCGTTGATGTCGTTGAGGTTCACCAGCACCTGTGGGCGAAGGGAGAAGGTGGAGAGGGCGGTGAGCGGAGAGGGGACCAGCTCCGGGCTCGTTGCCAGATGGGTGAGCTTGGTGAGCCACGGATGGACAGCACCACCAAGTACTTCCCAAATAGTTCTGGCTTTGCTCGTCCTACCCCTAAAACTGAAAATCCAGCCCCACACACAGCTGGGGCTCTGTCAAACCCCTGGGCTGTGCACCACGACAGGGAAGGCAAAGCCCAAACCAGATGTTCTCCACATTCGCATCCTGGCATTAACTGGCACAAAGTCCCCAACCACCTTCTCCACTGCTGGTGGAGAGGGCGAGCAAGGAAGAACCCCAAATAAGCTCAAAAAGGAGACAGAAATGCGCTTGGCCACCAAAGGCATGAGTTCAGAGAGCCGTTCTCTGCAGGCTTGCTCGCTCCTTTTCCTCCGGGACAAACCAAGGGCTTCGTTTCAACTAAAAAAAAAAAATGAGCGTGCTTTTTGAGTCAAACATAAACCACCACCAACGCAGCTGGCTCACCGTCCCTTTCCATGACACACTGGGCTGGCCAGCAGCACTGCTACAGTTCTCCAAAGGGAAAAAGCAACTTCGGGACACAGCCGAGCACGGTGTCACCAGGGGAGCACCGCCACCGGGGCCAGCAGCCACGCCGAGCTCCAGCCTTGCAGGGATTTGGCTTTCTAACTGAGTCACCCTACACACGAGGCATTTTTATACCTCTATCCCATGCTATATTGCAAGGCCCTTCAGGGCACTCGGGTAGTGGAAATGCCTGCGTGAGGAGGAGAGTCTCTGGTGGCTAGTAAAAGGTTGAGCTTAGCGAGCACTCCTCTGCCTCGCATCTCCTGGCCACATGGGTAAGAGAGATGCTGAAAACAAGGAGCTTTTTGACCTCCTGAATTGAGGGTAGTAAAACCCATCAGACGGACGCTTGATACTGGCTAACCTTGATCTTTAAAGACTTTATCTGAGTCTCTGCTCCGTCTCCTAGCAGCGGAGACAACAAACACTGGCACGCCTTATCAGGGAGATGGATTTCCCACCACTCGCTATCCAAAATAGTCACTAAATCTGCTCCTAAAAGCTTTGCCTTCAGACTGTGCTGGCAGAAGCCCTGTGGGCTGTGTAGGGAGGTTCCTGTTCTGTCTAGCTTTGGTCCTCACGGCTGATGGGGCTTCCAGGGTCAATGAGCTCAATGAGAGCTCTAATCGGTCCCTTCCTCTTGCAGGCTCCAAAATCGCTCTGGACACGGACAAATCCTGCCGTACAACCCATCACATTTCAATTTAGGCCACAGGAATACTCGGTGTATTCAATTCCTGCAAAACACGTGTTTTGGAGCTGCTAGTCCACTGCCCTGCTCTTTGAGCGGCACGCCAAGTTCAGGTCAACGCGGTCCAGAAGAAACGGAAGAACTATGGACAAAAGCAACAAAAGGTGATGAGAAACTTCACGCAACCTCCCTATGGGGCACGAAAATCGAGTTTAAAAACCAGATGAATAATCTGAGAAGAGCCCAACCGTGAGCAGCCCTTGCCATGTGCCTGTTTTGCAACCCCCCATGACGGAGCAGCAACTGGGCCAACTGGGAAGAGCTGCTGGCCGCTGGGAAGGAGATGTGAAACCGCTCACGCGAGGGGAACTCCTGGACCCCGAGGCCACCCCGCTGTCGCAACCCTACCGTGGCGGTGGACGTCAGGCGGCGCGAGGCAGCAGGACACTGGTCCGTGGCGGTGACCACCAAGGTGTAGCGCCCGTGGCTGATCTCGTAGTCCAGCTCCTTCAGGGTGCGGATCTGCCCCTGCAGGACCAGGAGACAGTGGCCAGGGGTGAGGGATGTGGGAAAAGGGCACGGCCACGCTGGGGACGGCGCCCTTATACTGACCGTGGCGCTGTTGATGTGGAAGGTACCCAAGATGTTGCCTTCAGTGATGGCGTAGGTGACCGTGCCGTTGGGCCCCTCGTCCAGGTCCAGGGCCTGCACGGTGACCAGGGTGGCGTTGAGGGTGGCGGGGCCCTCGTCCAGCGTCACCTCGTAGAGCTGCTGCTGGAAGGCGGGGGCGTTGTCGTTCTCGTCCAGGACCGTGACATACACCGTGGTGGTGGCCTGCGGGACGTGGGGACACGGTGGTGAGCCCCCATGTGGGGGTGGGATGGGCTCTGCAAGGCCCCGAGCTGGAGGGGTGAGGCTTGACCCATCAAGGACAATGGCCAACTTGGGGTCAACCCTACTGGGAGAAGCATGAGGTATTGCCTTAAAACCAAGCGAGCCTGGCTGCAGAAACATCTCCAGGACAAGGCAGTGGCTGGGAGCAGGTATTGAGCTAAGTGCACAGGGGTTAAATCACACCCTTCTTCCCAAGCACAACATGCCCTGGCACCATCTCTCTCCTTTTCCCCCAAAAACCAAAAATTAATCACCTTTGAGCCTCGCTTCCTTTGGGATAGGTCTCTGCAGGTGACGCTGGGGACACCTTGGTCACTACTACTGGGGGTGGCAGCACGGTAGGATGGAAAACACCCTGAGATGCTGCTGCTTGGCTCAGAGGAAGAACAAAAAAGGAACATCTCCGACCTACTTTTGCAGGGGACTGGTGGGACATTTTCACCAGCTCCAGGGAAGAGCTTTGCACGTGAGCACACTGCAGCTCCCTCCCAGGTTGTGACTGTCACAAAAACCCCTCTGGATTTGCACCTCCACCTTCCCCCACGGACAAGTTTCCTCCTACCAGGCAGGGGTTACATCTCTGACAAGAGATTCACAGAAGTGTTTGCCATAAAACCACAAGCTGCGCAGCTACTTTTCTATTTCCCTGCACGCTCAAACGCTCAGAGCAGGTTGTCAGCAAGGTTTTGAGCAGTTTGCAAACCTCCAAGTGACCCCGGGCTCCACTACAAGGGGACCAGGAGCTTGTCTCTTTGAAATAAGGTGGTCCTGGCTGCACCCGCTGAGCTTTGAGCTTTCTGAGTGAAGCGAGAGCCTGGGGGATCAGCAGGCACTTGCGTGAAGCTGCGGCACCACGTGCACGGGACGTGGCTGGAGAGGATGCGCTCAGCACGCACCGCAGGGACACTGCACGCTTCGGATGCCACCAGGGCTGGGATTTCTCCGGCTGCCACCGGGCTCTCCCTTTCTGCACCAAGCCCTGTGGCTGGCTCCGCTCCGAGTTCCCCTTTTTCACCCACCTCCCGTCCATCCCAGGAGGTTTTCCGCAGCACCAGCCTGGCCCGGCCGCTAGCGACGCGCCAAACCCTCGCAACCACATCGAAAATAAATTAAAAAAAAAAAAACAACAACAACAAAACAACACACAAATTCCAAGCAAGCTGCTCTTCCAATTCCCCCCCGGGGGGCCGCGGGGCTGGGAAGGGCCAGGGGGAAGCTCCTTGCCCCAGCCGGCCTCCTGGGGGTGCTCGCACTGCTCCTCTCTGCGGCGCAATGAAATTTCCTGCGGGCGCGGCGGTGCTGCGCGGTGCTGCGCGGCGCTGAGATGGAGCGGGTGACACCGCCGCCGCTGCTGCTGCTGCTGGCCCTGCTCGCCCTGCTGGCTTCCCACGGTAAGCCCCGGCTCCTTCTCCTCTCCCCCACCCGGGGCTGCTGCGCCTTGGGTTGGGGAACTCGGGGGTCCTTCACTTTCCCGTCCCCTCCGCTGGGATATTTTGGGGTGAGGGGACCGCTGTCGCCTTCAGCGCGCGGTGCGTGGGGCCACGCTGCTTGCATCGGGGGGAGCTGCTGCTCTCCAAACTCTGCTCGCCCACCGGTTGCTTTTCCTCGTTTGCTTCGGTCGAGCGTGCATTGGGAGGAAAAAAACAGCCCGTGCCCCCCTCCGAGCCCCTTTCTGAGCCCCCGGGGCTGCGAAAGCTGCCCCAGGGGTGCAGGGGAGGCGGTGTGTGCCTCTCACAGTCACCAGCCTCCCCACGGACACTCTGCCCTGCCGCCACTGCCCCGCAGCCAGCACGGGTGCGTGCACACACATGGATGTGCCGGGCGGCTTCGTGGCCAACTTGGCATCTCCATCTGCCCCGGGACAACAAAGGATTTTTTGCTGGCATGCCCCCAGAAAGAAACAATGCCCAGCTGTGCGAGGCTGGCCGCTTCCTTCAGCCCCGAGCGCCTGCAGAGGTGTGTGTAGAAACAAGGGGCACGGCACGTTTGTTTTGCGCCGTGGCTTTCCTGCCAGCTGGGGCTTGTGGCAGGGCGATGCTGAGGGCTGCTGACTGTTGGCAGTGCCAAGAAGGCACGGCTGGGGGGCACCCGGCTCAGGGATCAGGCAGCGGCCACGCCAAAGGCATCCCTCCTACCCCCCTGCAAAGCTTGCTTTGCCCAGATTTCCCAAATCTCATCCCAAACCCAAGTCCGGCGTTGTGACCCCGTCCCCGAGCCGGGGCAGTGTTGTGGCCCGCGACAGGTGGCGGCATGCGAGAGAGGCAGTGGTTTGTCACATGCTGCTGCCACCGAGTTTCACTTTGAATTTTTCTGGGAAAGAAAAAAAAATAAAAAGAGCAAAACCACACAGGCAATGCACCGGGAGAGGAGCAAAGCAGCTCCGCGGTGCTGCCGGGGAGCAGGGAGCTCCCCGCTGCCCCGGGACCCAAAACCATTTGGCTCCACAGGAGATAAGGGCAATTGACACCAGTTTTTCTGCCTGCACCTCCTTTTTTTTTCCTGTCCTTTTTAATTCCCTGCCCTAAGCACTTGCACTGAGGTGCACGGCCCTTCTCAGCCAGGCTGATAACCCTGAAGCGTAATGACAGCGCGGTGACGAGGGGTCTCGCAGGATTTCTGCGTGAGGCTGCTCGGTACAAAAGCTCCCAGAAGAGGAATTAAGGGCAGGTTCCCTGCTCTGGCAAGCCCAGGGAGTGCCTGTGCAGAGGCTGCATCCTGGCCTGGGGTGGGAGTCACCTCTGGAAATCCCACTGGAAACTAAGCACACCTGCTCGCAAGCGCAGGGGAATTGACTCAGGAGAGGTTTTTTTTCTCAGCAGCTCAGGATTTGGCACAAAATCCTGCTTTATTTAAGCAGTTCATCAGCAAAGAGATAGCAGTGCCATGGCACGAGCACTTTTTCTCCTCTCTGTGTTTTGCTGTGCCACCCCCGGAGCCGCCCCATCCCGCCGCACACCAGCGGGGAGGAGCCGCTCGGGCTCCTGACGCCTTCTGGAAGCTTTCCACCGTGCTTGGGAAAACGAAGGGAAATTCGTCATGCCGAAGGCCTCACGCATGTGGTAACCTCTGCCCCGTCCCAGGGACGGGGCTCGGTTACCGTCAGCGTGCTGCTTTTCCACCCCAGTAGTTCCCAGCATCCCTGGACCGCTTGTGCTGGGCACGGATCTGCAAAGGGGACCAAGGTGTGGATGCACCCTGGGCACAAATAAAAATACAGCAATCCACGAGCAATCCTCTTGGATTTCCCCCGTCCGTGAGGGCAGGGGCTGCAGGGGGCTGCTGGCAGCAGCGCGGGCTGCCCAGATGGAGTCGGTGGGGATGAGCAGGACGGCCCCACTTTTGGGGAAAACAAAAGCTGCCGCGGACACTTCCTCCTATAGAGCCCCAGCTTCCCTTCCCCGGGCTGCCGGGGGCCCTGCTGTGAATGGGGCACTTCCCGTGGCGGCAGGTAGCAGCACCACGCCGGTGCCCTTTGTGCTCAGGACCTGCTGCCTTGTGCTGGGCGCAGGGCTGGCGGTGGCACGGGACGAGCTGGAGGTGTGCAAGGCGCATGGGGCGTTTTCACTTTCGCTCTCTCTGCACGGCCGAGGATGCTCTCGGGTGGGGTGGAGGCATCGGGAGCCTGGTCCCAGGCTGGAGGGTGACCTGCGGGGAGGCTCGGCACGCCCAGGGGCTGCTCGATATAGCAAGCGAGAAAACCTCAAGGCGAAGCAGCAGCGGGGCTGGTGGAACAACAGGATGCTGCCTGTTTATTAGAACACCTCGTCCTGATGCCCTTTTCTCACAAGCAGCCCCGGGAACCTCCTTTTCTTAGTGCCATATGTAAGAAAAAGCAAGGCACCACACCAGAAAGACTCTTTTGGGCAGCTTCCCAGGGTGATGCTTGCACTTAGCAGCAGCAGGGCCCCAGCACCGGTGTGAAGACCCTCGCCAGGCTTTGCCCTTTCCTCCCCCCAGCACCCCGGGACAGGTGCGGTAGCAGTGGGGTGCCCCCCTCTGCCTCGCTGCAGCCCTCCCTGTGCCCCTGGGGCAGGGAAAGCCCCGCTCGTGCAGGGGAGGGATTTCTCGGGGAGGGATTTCTCTCCCTGCACGGTTTTCAGTTTCAGGCAGCTCCTCGCCAGCAGTTCCCCCTTCTGCTTAAAAACAAGCAGGGTGGGACCTGCTCCCCGCCTGATCTCAGGGGCACGGCCTCCTCCCATGCCTTTTTCTCTCTATATTTTTTTGTTTTGTTTTCTTCTCTCTTTTTTTTTTTTCTTTTTTCATTTTTAACCAGCTGTTGACACGCGCTGTGGGGAAACAGGAGCTGGAGAGCCCTTTGCAACCAGCCCCGAGGTGCTCACATTTCCTCCTTTGAGGGCCGTGCCCCCCTGCCCTGCTTCTCCTCCCGCTCTCTTTGCAGACCCAAAGTGCCCCCAGCCCAGCCCCACACCTCCTGCCCTACATGGTGCTTCCCCTGCCAGCCGTGCAAACCTCTGGCCACATGAAAGACGCTGCTCGGGTGCTATTTGAAGCCTCCTGCGGGGCTCGTTTCCAGGGCGCACTTGTGTTGGTGCCTCTGCCACAGGAAGACATGAAAGGTTTGGGTCACACTTCTCCTCTCTGGTTTAGGACCCAGGATGCTCAGCCTCAGGGAGCCTGGTTTGTCCCCGTGTTGGTGACATCAGGGGAGCTGATGGCTCCCCGCAAGCCCTGGCCATCCCCACGGTCCCCCTTGCTCCCGTCCTGACCCCGTTCTCCTCTCCCGCAGGAGGGACGCTGGCGCTGCTGGTGACGGCGCCCTACGCGCGCTGCGTCTGCCCGGAGGGGCAGAACGTCACCCTGAGCTGCCGGGTGAGCGGGCCCCTGGCCGACCGCCACGACCTGCTCTACAAAACCTGGTACTTCAGCAGCGCCGGCGACCAGAGCTGCAGCGAGAAGCAGCACATCCGCAACCTGACCGAGAGGGAGCTGCACCACGTGGAGCCCGGCCGGCACCACGGCACGGCGCCCAACGGCACCGCCAGGGCCCCCCACGGGTGGCAGGGCGGCCACCGCGGCGTGGAGTTTGTCCCCAACCACCACGGGGCTTTCCACATCGTGGTGATGAACCTGACGCTGCAGGACAGCGGGAATTACTGCTGCTACGCCATGGAGGTGCGGCGGGAGCACGGCAAGCCCCAGACCCTGCAGGTGGCTCACGGCTTCGTGGAGCTGCAGATCCAGAGAGGTGAGCGGGGGGGGGACGAGGGAGGGGTAACGGGGTGCCGGAGGGGCCTCGGGGTCCTGGGGGGGCAGTCAGGGAATGGGCATCAGGGTGGTGGCTTTGCCAGGGCTCAGGGACGTGGTGGCTCTCAGCACGGGGAGCCGCGGATGTGGAAGGGTCAAACGATGGCCAGGGAGCGCTGGAACAAACCCTCCCACCCACCCCCAACAACATAATTCAAAATAAATCAAGGCTGTGGAAAAGGTTTTGCTGCCTCTGCAGGCAACAAGGAGCCGTGTTACATAGTTTCAGTGATCTTCTTCAACCCCTTTCCGGAGGAGAGGAAAACAAACCCTGCGTGAAAGAGCGGAGAGGCAGCGCGGGCGTAGCTCGGGGCGCGGAGGCTGCAGCTGGCCTCGGAGCTGCCTGGGAGGGTCTGGCTTACGGGAAGGGCTTGCTCCTGCCAGGGGAGGTCATCCCTCAGTCTGCAGCGTTAGGAAAGACATTTGTCTGGCCTCTCGACAAAAAAAAAAATAAATAAAAGGGAAGTGGGGCGTTGTGCTGCACGCCAGCCGCAGGCGAGGTCGGCGGAAGATCCCCGTTGCCAAACTCCTGCTTCTGGGACACTCGGGGCCAGTTTGCTCAGCCTTGATGGGCTTGGGGAAGGGGCTGGGTGCCACCCGAGACCACCGTGAGGGCTCACACGCTTTTGTCTTCTCCTCCACAGGCAGAGGAGAGCTTCAAAACTGCACGTTTTACACCGCCAACAGCAAAGGTAAAGAAAGGGAAAACCCAAACCTGAGCGCTGCTCGCCACCCAGGCCTGCGTGCCCCATGGTGCTCCAAATCCTCCTGGACCTCACAGCAGGGTGCTGGGGGGGTGACTTGTGCCCCTGCCGATGCTCTCCTGGCCACCAGCTTTCTCACCAGCACCTCCCACCCCAACATTTTACAAGGCCAGGGGAAACCCAGGCCTTGCTTGAACACCCCGACGCACGGCGCCGCGCACCCTCCAGCCCCCAGCGTCGTATCTAGACGCTCAGCTGTGCCCACACGTGGCTGTGCACGCATTTTTTTTCCTGCCTGCCCTGCTTGCTGCCTGCTAGACAGGCAGATTTTGCTAAAATCAGGTTGCAATTCAGCCCTGGGGGTCGTATCTTACAGATATCACGGCCGCTGCGCTGGCGACGGGCGCCTGCATCGTGGGCATCCTCTGCCTGCCCCTCATCTTGGTGCTGATTTACAAACAGAGGCAAGCGGTCAGCAGCAGACGTACGTACTCCGCCGCGTGCTCCCCGTCCCATCTCCCCGTCCCAGAGCCCCAGGGACCCGATTTGGGCCGTGCCCTTCTCGCTCTGGCCAAATCCCTTTGGAGAAGTGGGTTGTGCAGCAGCAGCAGTGGGCACGACGCCAGCCGCGAGCAGGAACCGCGCTTTCGACACCCGTCCCTGTTTCATCATGGCTGGGGCACTGCTGCTCCCCGCTGCATTGCAAAATTACCTGGGGGGGGGGAAGGCAAAGCCCCAAGAGCTTGATTTTGGGATGCTGAATGGGAGGGCAGGATGGGTCTCGTGGGGTGCACACGGTGCTGATGCTTTTTGTCTCTGGCAGGTGCCCACGAGCTGGTCCGAATGGAGAGGTGAGCGTGCTTGTCCCCACATCTACACCCCAAAAACCAGCCCTGTCCTCCTGCTAAGCCTCCCCCGGGCTCCCTGCTGGGTTGCAGCCGAGGTGCTGCTGGTTACAGCGGCTCCCTCGCTCCCCGTGCCCCAAAAGTGCCAGGCGAAAAGCGGGTCCTGAAATAAAAATGCAAATCACCCACGGCGGGATGTCGCTGATGCAATGTCACCTCGGCTCCCTCTGAGCCTAAGAAAGGGCTCTTTTAAGAGATGAGAAAGAAATGTTTCAGCAAAAATAGACGCTGAATGGGGCCATTGTCCCACACGGCCAGGTGTTCGCACGCACACAAGGGACCACAGCACTTCACCCCCCCTCCTGCTGGAGCCTCAGAGCTGGCTGTTGGTCCTGAGGCAGATTTCAGGGGGATTTGAGCACTGAGAAGCAGGAGCATTGAAAGATCAGCTGCAGCCTGCCAAGCCTCGCAGGAGAGCGACAAAATGGGTGCCTGTGTCTCGCGGCGAGCCAAAGCAGCCCCGCAGCTGCGCCTCTGTGCCCTGACAGAGCAGCCTTAGTTAGAAACCCGCCGAGGAGACACCCTCTGGCATCTCACCGTGCGGGGAGGCTTTGCAATACTCAAAAAAAACCCCTGAGCATCCCTCATGCCCTCTCTTCTCCCGCAGCAGCAGTGCCCAGGGCATCGAGAACCCCGTCTTCGAGGCGCTCCCCGCGGGCAGCGTGGAGCCCCGGCCCCGGCCCCAGCTCTCCTACCTGGCCAGCCGGCAGCCCTCCGAATCCGGCCGGCACCTCCTCTCCGAGCCCAACACCCCCTTGTCCCCCCCGGGCCCCGGGGACTGCTTCTTCCCCACGCTGGGTGAGTGTCCGAGCAGCCCTCCCCGGGGAGGCAGCGAGGGGAGCACGGGGGGTGAAGGGAGGATGGATTGCTGCCCCGGTGGATATTTGGTGCAGCTGGGCATCCTGCAAGCTGCTCTGACACCGCTGTCTGCATCCTTTTCCAGACCCCGTTCCCGACTCGCCGAATTCCTTGAAAGCCTAAAGAGGCTGGTGGCAAAAGCGACGGAGGAGGCCAGCGAGCTGTGGCCGCACCAGGAGGCAGCATGGCCAGGGCGGGCAGCAGCTCCCACCACCAATCATGGAAAATTCAGAAAAATATCTATCTAACGAACTAAAAAGACCTCCTCACCTTCCTCTCCCTACCACCTGGACGCCAACCGCTGGTTTCCCTTCGTGCTGTGAGGAAGACCAGGCGGTGAGGGCTGTGAGCGAACATTTCCCTGCCTGGCACCAGGCGACACCGATGGCCATGGCAGGGGCAGGGAGGATGCCAAGAAGACTCAAACAACAGCAAAATGCCTTAATAAACAAAGCCAGGCGCAGGAGCCCTGCCTGTTCCTCCCGTACTGGCTCTGCCCTGCGGATGGACGTGACCCCTCTTGCTTGGGTTTTGATTTTTACTGCCTATTTCCACGGAGAAGAGCAGGGAGAGCGCGTGGCCGCGCACACCCCTTTCTGCGCACGCCCCGTGCCCGGACGGAGCCTATTTACTTTTTATTGACAATGAGCATTGTGGTTCTCACCTTTTGCCTAAACCCCGGAGGATGCATAAGAGAAAAGATGGAAGGAAGAGCAGCTCCCGGCCCCGGTGTGCCCGAGCAGCCGGGAGCCGCGTCCCACCGGAGCTGGGATGCCGGGAGGGCGTCCTCCTCCTGCACGCCTCCCCCAGCCCTTCTTAATTTATTTCCAGGGCTGCAACCTGCGCAGCGCTAACCCGGCCAGCTCTCCTTGGCGGCACATCCTTTCCAGGAGCGTATGGCAAAGTACTTGAGCCGCGGCGAGACAAAACAGTGTCACCGGCCAGCATTGGATGGAGGGTTTCTGTGCCAAACAGGAAGGGGAACGGCTCGCTCCTGCTGGGGGAGTCCTCCTGCCCCGGCTGCCTGTGATTCATTACCAGTGATGATTAAAAAAAAAAAAAATAAGGATGCTTATGTTTTTTTCTTTTTTAATATTTTTAAATGCTGTTAGATTGGAGAGGTCGTCTTCACGGTGCTTGGAGGGTTTTCCTGCTATGCACGTGGCCGTGCCGGCATCGCCCTCACTGCAAACCTGAGCAATCCCAGGGCACCAAAACCAGCCTGCCTCAGGCGGCTCTGGCAAATCCCGCTCCTGCCCAGCTGCACTGATTTCAGGAGGTATTTTTGGCCCTTGGAGCCTGTGGGCTTGCTCACCCTCACTGGGAATGTGGCTGCTGTGGTTTAGCTCAGGCTCTTGCAGCATCCTCAGATAAGCTGAGCGCCTGCTCTGCCCTCCTAAGGGGTGAGGAGATAAGGCTTTGTGGTAGAAATGGTTACTCAAAGGGTGATTTTTTTTTTCTTTTGCTTCTGTTTTTGTTGTAAAGAATGGGGAAAAAATTGCCAATAAACACCCGTAAGCATTAGTCATACCAAAAATACTGGCAGACCTGAGTGAAAGTAGCGTGCCCTTGCAGAGCATCCCCGGTGGCAGCGGGCTGAAGATCAACAACCCGTGGCTGGAGGGAACGGCATCACCTCTGCAGCGGGCACGGTGCGAGAGGATTTTGAGGTCTGACCCCCCAGGAAATCCCCCGATGGACTCTGCCCTCGGGCCTCCTGCGGGATGGCGAGGACAGGGCTTGGTGCACCAGCACCGTGGCTGTGCTCCTGGCTGGACACCTCGCACCCCCTCCCTGTCCTGGATCGCCACGGGTCCTTCAAGTCCTCTCCTAGCTCTGTTCTTTGGCCTTTCCCAAAGCTTTGTTTTGTGGGATTTGGATCGGCGCTGCTGGAAGCATCAGAGACCTCAGCTACCAGCCTGGGTGAAGCCCCTAAGGAATGGCACCGGGCTCCGTGCACAGCATTGCTCACTGCGATGTTCCCCAGGACGATGGGGACGCTTTTGGGAGGAGCTGGCAGCACCAGCTGCTGCGTTTGCACAAACCTGCTGCTCTCGTTCTAAGGAAAGAGATTTCAACCACGGCATGGCGTAAGCAGAAGACACAAAGAGGCGCGTGAGCCACCCGGCGGGGAGCAGCGCGGAGATTTGCAAGCTGTGACCTGCACTGCTTCTTGCAGCACGCTTCCTCAAAATGTAGAGCAGGGCTCTGCAGCCAGAGCGCTGCCGGGAGGTGAGAGAGATGGAGAGATAAGGGGGGAGGTGGAGGCGAGGCAGGGTGGCAGCAGGGTCACACCTCGCCGGGGAGCGACGTGCGCTCGCTTGGCGGTTTGCGCATCTCCCCCGGCCTGCATGCCAAGGCTGCTCTCTATTTGTTGTGTCTAACAAAGCCAGCGGGCAGGACAGCCCCCGCTCGCACGTGGGGATGCTCGTGGTGTTTTCAGCTCTTACAGCCGCGAAACGGCTCAGGACTTCTGCTCAAACCACTTCAGAGCAGAGGCAGGGAGATGAAACGCTGCCGTGCCGGAGCGAGCGGGAGGAAAGCGAGGATGCAGGCTGAAAGCAAAGGCACGGCAGCTCCGCCACGGGGCAGGCAGCAGCCCCCAAAAACATCCCACAGCAACAGCTCTGGCTGCCAAATATGCCAACTATGATCTGGACCCTGAGCCACGACCTGAATCAAGGCGCTTGGGGTTCACATGTGCATCACCAGACCACCAGGGCATCCCCGCAGAGCCACGCGCTGTGCATCCAGCACCCACCCCAAACTTTCCCGGCACTTCCACCCCCACCTTCCGCACTCAGCACCCCAAAGCTCAACCTGCTGGCCCCAAAACGCGTGTCCTGGTGGCTCACCGACAGGGATGGGTTGCCCTCGTCCTCCACGGTGACCAGCAGGCAGTAGGAGCTCTGCCGCTCGCGGTCGGGCGGCGAGGGCCGCGTGGCGATCTCGCCGGTGACGCGGTCCATGCGGAAGGTGAGGTCCTCGTTCCCGTGGGTGATGTAGTAGGACAGGACGCTGTTGAGGCCGGCATCCCGGTCGGTGGCACGCACCTGGACCACCGCCGTGCCCCCGCCGACGTTCTGCAGGGTGGATGAACACGGAACCCATCACAGCACGGCATAACACAAAATACATCCTTTGTAATAGTCATAATACAGACTGGGCTTTTTCCAAGCTGCTTTAGGCACCAAACCCCAAACCTACACCCACCAAAGCAGCTCCCCTTGACCTGCGGTGAAGCAGTTTGGTTGTGCATTAGGCGCTATCTAGGCTGGCGCATCCTTAAAGAGTGCAGAACCCAAAGGTGAAGGCTGTAGAACGCACTTGGAGCACAGCTAATTATTTTTGGATGATCCCATTACGGGGGAAATCAAGAGAGAATTTCTATTCTTCAACCAGCTCCAACCATGTATTAAAGAGATAAGGAAATCCTAGCAGGGCAATAACTTTAATGCCAAGCTATTCATCATGAGCAGCACTCCCGTGCTTCCGAGTGTCACCGGCTATTACTTATATTTCATTTTTCACCCTCAAATGGAGAACCCCCGGCCCAGGAATTAAACCGGCAGGAAATAAGTTGTCTTTTCTCATGCTTGATCGTGTTTTATTGCTTAATTATCCAGCTCCCTCGGAGCTGCCTCTCCTCCCGGGGGCTCACCTCGCTCACGCTCACGTTGTAGCCGAAGGGGCTCTCGATGACGGGCGGGTTGTCGTTGACATCGAGGATGGTGACCCGCAGGGTGTGCTCCTTCCTCCGCGGGGGCACGCCGCCGTCCGAGGCTTGGATCTGTGGTCGGGGGGTGTGTACGTGTCATTTTTGGCCACGGTGAAGCCCAAACGAGGCAGGGGGAACGCGGTGGGGGCTTGGCTCACCCGCAAGGTGTAGCGGTCCAGCAGCTCCCGGTCGAGCGGCCGAGCCACCAGCACCTCGCCGTAGGTGTTGTTGGTGGTGCGGATCTCAAACGCCCGCCCCACATTCCCTGCTGTCAGCGAGAACGTCACCTGGGGGGGAGGAGAAGAGCAAGCTATGTGGGGCTGGGAGGACGGGAAGGAGACCCTACAATAATAAACCCGGAGATGCCCTCAGAGCATCTTAAGATGGTTCAACGTGGGTGGATGCAGGGGTACGTGGGCACCCCACAGCAGCCAGCCCTGGTCTCACACTACCAGGGTGGCACCGAGCTCGTGTCCTGTCCCCCAACGGGGACACCGAGGAGGGGAAAGGACCAGGAAGGTGCCACGGGGAAGGTGGCACCACCGCCCCACCTGCCCGTTGCTGCCCGCATCGGGGTCGCGGGCCAGGACCACGGCCACCCGCCGGCCGACCGGGCTGTCCTCTGCCACGCTGACGGCCGAGTCGGAGGTGATGTCGAACTGCGGGCTGTTGTCGTTCTCGTCCAGGACCGTGATGGTCACCTGCGGGCACAGCAAGGTGAGGACAGGACCTGGAAACCCTGGGCTATCACGTCTCCATCCCAACCTCCCACCCCAAATCGCTGGCAGCACGAGCAGGAGCCGCCCCGCGCGGGAATGGTGCGGATATTTGAAGCCAGGAGCTGCAGCTGCGGAGGAGGAGGAGGGAGGAAGAGGCAGGAGAAAGACAGCAAGCACTCGAGCATTGCGCTTTGCATGCCGGAGGTGACAAAGGAGCGGGCTACCTCGGCCACAATTAGCCCCAGGAAATGCTCTCATCACCCGGGCAATTACAGACCCACATGGCCACACACAAACGGGAGAGGAAGAGCCTTGCAGTTCCCGGGGCTCTATTTATGGGGCCCCCCCAGCCCCCAGGTGCGGCGGGGCTCAACGCCACGACATCCCGGAGGAAGCCCGGGGCGAGCCGCTGCGGTTATTGTTGGCGATGAATGGAAACCAGGGAGTGGGGAGCGCGGCGAGGGGGTCCCCGCAGCTCGACGTCTGGGACTGGTCCTGCCCCCCCGGAGGTGATGCTGGTGCGATGGACGTGCTGCTTACCTTCTGTCGGAGGGGAAGCAGAGAAAGCAAAGAGGAAAAAAAAAAACAAGTGAGGGGTGGCGAGGAGTCGGGCACGTGTCTTCCAGCCCACCGTGGGGCGGGGTGGGCGCGTCCCCGTGGGGCTTGAGCTGATTTGTGGGAGGCTGGAGCACCCATGAGCTTGGGAATGGCAATCGTGGCCTCCTTGCTACCTCCTTCCTCCAGCATCACCTTCATCACCCCGATACGAGGTCTCAAAGCACAACAACAAGCTGCTGGCTTCGAAACCCACCCCCCCGGGGGCCCAGGTGCCCCAAACCAGCCCGTTTTTGGTTTCTGTCCGTGCCAGCCCAGCCGCCGGTGCCTGCCTGCGCCCCGTGTGCCACCCGCTGCGGCGGGGAGATGCAAATCACCCCCGCTCGGCTGCCTTCGAAACTGCCAAATATAACACTCCCCATCAGCATAAACCGCGGGGAAGTAGTTTGAGGCCCCCCAGATTTTACTAATGGTTTATTTTGGTAAGAGATCTGCAAACCCTACTGTTGTCTCGTGTGTGCGTGCGCGTGTGTTCCGAGAAATATGACGCTGTGATATACAGAAGACAAAATGCAGTGGCCCGTGCTCATGCAAAAGCAGGGTTTCCCCCAGATCGGGGTTTCCAGACCCTACTGTTTGCTTGTGCGGGTTGGAGAAGTGCAGGGTACGGGAACAGGGTCTGCCAAACCCAGCAGAGCTTGTACGAATGGGCAACGGAGGGCACCGACTTGATTTTGGGCATTCCCAAAACCCGGGCAAGAGGGGGAAGACGAAGCCACTCACCACCGTAGAGTCAACCTTCGGCCCCCCGTCATCGGCCACCACCGTCAGGGTGTAGAAATCCCCCTTCTCCCGGTCCACCTGGCCTTTGACCGTGATCACGCCCTGCCGAGGGCGAAGAGCCACGTCCACCACCTCCCCGAGAGCCCGCGGTGGCCAACCCAACCGAGGAAGACCATGCTGAGGAAGACCACTCACGGTGACGCCGTTGATCTTGAAGAGGGCCAGCGCCTGGGCGTTGGTGTTGGGGTCGAACTTGTAGGTGATCTGGTTGAGGTTGTCGATGGAGCGCGCCTGCACGCG